ATTGCGAACTTCTTTCAATGAAGTCATCCTAGTTCATCCTGATAAACAGAGGACGAATAATGTCAATAAGCTTGACAGTGCGGAAACCGCGGTTTCGGACGGTGCTGCTTAATGTTTGTGAATTCCTGCCACAACGGCCTTCTCTCCCCAGCCTTCTCACAGGTTTCGGCATCCCCGTTGCTGTCCGCGTTCCCGCTGCTTAAAGTCCCTATTGTTGCTCGTGGGCACGTACGTATGACAACGATGATGATATGCGACATGGCAACCATACTCTAGGACTAGCTAATAAGTTGAATGAAGTATGCAGCCTTGGTTTACAGTGTACAACTTTGATATTGGACATCCATGTCATGGTCAATTGACAGCAGTCAAAACAAGATATCTGCTGACCAGTATCACATGACCATGTCACATTCTCAGGTTTAGAGCTCATCAAGGTCACATGTTTTATTTTTCTTTAAGCTAATGGCTGCCCAGGTTCTGGTTTTTGATTGGATTACAGGCTCAAGCCAGGTTAACATATTGCAATCAAGAGCTCCACTTTTAGGATTGGCTAAATCTATACCGTAAATCTTCGAATTAGCACCCAGGGTGCTTATTTCAAATTTAGGAGAGGACGGGGGCGCTTATTCGAGGGGGGCGCTTAACTGAGGGGAGGCGCTTATTTAATTTTTCCCAAATTGTGACCTGACATGATCATTTTTTCAATACATCATCTGCACGTAAACAACAATAAAAGCTGTTTATCGACATAAAAAGCCGATCCTAAAGTTTAAATCGTGGTACCATTAGAAATTAACATGGTCACAAACTGAAACAATGTGCAAATCTAATACTGCACGAAGAAAACTATTCATCCTTTGCTGTCTCATTACTCGCCCACAAAATAGGGGGAGGGGAGGGGGTGCTTATTTTAAATTTTGGCTGGAGGGGCACTTATTGGAGGGGGAAGGTGCTAATTTGAGGATTTATGGTATATCAGTAACATTCTGACCTTGGCACTTTGTTTGGAACTGTTTCTTCTCCTGGCTTTCTTCCAGGGCTTTGTTTTTGGCCTGGCCATACCTGCATGAGTTAGGACAAGTACAGAAGTTTATTAATATTTGATTTATTGTCTTTGCTATACATTTTACTATTGTTTTTTTACTATTACTTGATGTAAAGATATCACAAACAAATAAAGCAAGATTCAAAATAAGGCCGGTGATTATTATCAGGCTTGAATAGTTAGCATACATACGCATTTTCAAATGATAACTTTTCCCTCTGTAGCTGCTTGTTTAGAATGTCTATTTCTCCCAATGCAAACTGCAATCTTTCACTCTCACTAGCAAGTTTTGCTTTTGTTCTCACATGTTCAAGTTTTTCTTCCTAAGAGCAATAATAAAGAATGCCACATAGATATTTAAATACATAAATATTGAGTGTATCTTACCTACTAAATAAAAACACTGCAGTTACGTTAACATGTTTTTGTTGTTGTTTTTTTTTTCACTAAAGTATTGTACATAACAAATTCATTTATTCACATGTTCAAAATGAAACAAGCACCCTGTCCCTAATAAGGTGGCCCTTGTCCAATAAGCACCCTCCTTCGAGCTGACAAAAGTAAATTAACACCCCATGCACTGAAAAGAATCTATATACTCTACATTATACCTGTTGCAATATTGGTGTCATGATTTGATATATAAGATTGTGTAACAACCCTATTAACATCTATGCTAACTCTCCTAGTTTGTCTGGAAGTTACCTGGATACAAACCATATCTCTTGGTCGCCTGTACAGGTCAGTGTATCTCCCAGTTGCAAAGGATAGTGTTTGGCTGAATATGGGACATTTTGCGGGATATTTGATGTGTTTACCGGTTGACTCAACGGAACTCGATTATTTACAATGTTGTTATAGGTTGAGAGAAGGCAAAATTGGTGATCCCCTGGGTTTTGATTTTTCGACACAAACAAGTTTGCACAGTTGTACATCACACAAACAAGTTTGCCTAGTTGTATAGCATGTTGGTGGTAAAATAGATGAGGTTCCACTGAATTGAGGCTACAAATGTTAAATGATAAAATTATAGATGCACAACCTCAAGTTCCCTGACCAACTTCTCATACTCTTCACATGGAACTCGATCATCTGTCCTTGACATCTGAGACAATATTTAAAAAGGTGTTGACGTAAGAACATTAACCAACCATGAGTAAAATTCTTTCAAAATTCAATTCAAATGATTCTTAGAATTTCTACCCAAATGGAAGAAAGAAACTGCAAGTCTGATTATAAGCTTAATATGGTTATGGGATATTCTACTTCAATAAAGCTTTATAGGCTGGATTCCCTGCATTCAGTACTTTAATTGCTTGCAAANATAATTTTTAGAGGGCCACTGGTTTATTAGTATTTTTATACTATTTTAGTGCTACCCTCTTTAAATAAAGTCTTTACTTACTTACTTATTTAAACTTTCCAGACATGGCCAAGGCATTGCAAATTATAGTTCTCAGTATAATCCATCAAATATTTTTGCTTGCACGCAATTGGTCTGAACACGTCACATGACCAAATATTCCCCAGCTAAAACTGGGGAATATGCGAGATTATGATCCATCAAATATTTTTGCTCACGCATGATTGGTCTAAACACGTCACGTGACCAAATATTCCCCAGCCAAAACTGGGGAATATCCGAGAATATTCCCCAATTTTCAAAACTGCGTGTGTTATGAAAAAGATTTGAAGGATAATAAACACAATAGCCTCCATTTTGCGTGAAAATATGCTTGGATATTTGTCCTTGGACATTATCTGTTCCTCTAAGCTCACAGTTTTCCTCGAGCTACGCTCTCGGAAAACTGTTTGCTTCTCGGAACAGATAATGTCCACGGACAAATATCCTACCATATTTTCGCACCAAATGGAGGCTATTGTTTATTTATTACCCAAATTGGTCCACAAGAAAAAGGAGAATTTTTGATTGGCTGTCTGAGCAGTCCACATTGTGCTAGATGGACAACTTACTAGCCTAGTTTGTTTGAGCCATACTGGGGCATATTGCGCCAAGGTTGCGACAGTACAGACCTTGCTGTACTGTCCTGATCTTGGGCCAATATGCTCCAGCATGGCCCTTACGCCCGGTTAGTAAGAAGTTAATATATATTATATTAATGAAGCCTAAAACACTAAGCTTATATATGATGATGAAGACATTCATGATTGTTCACAAATCGCCTTTTCAATGTCAGACCTTGAATAAATAGAATGTACTTGACTTTAACGAGAAATGCTTCCTCAAAAGAACTGTATTTAAATTCCGTAAGTGCTGCAATCATATATAGTTTAAGCCACCTTAAAAGCACTGCTGTTCTGATCTCGATCTATGTAAGATACTTATACTTATTTGGATGCTTAGAGCACCCAAAGCTTTATCATGCTCAAGTCATGGAAGAAGCTCAATTTTTCCTACCTTGGCTTTCATTCTGGCCATAGCTGTGTGCTGAAACCGTATTACGTCCTGAAGTTGTTTGTTTACAATCGTAAAAGAAGGTTCTGATTCATCCGACATTTTCTCCATTTTGTAATTTGAGCGCCTTCAGTCACTACTCGATCCAGCCTTCCTCGGAGATTTCTCATTCGTTCCCAGTTCTTTTGCTCACATCTGACACCAATATATAGATTTAGCCAAGCCTAAAGCGGAGCTACTGGGCCGCTTTGTTTAAAACCCGATTAAGGTAACCCAGGATAAGCGATAATTTTGATTTGAGTTTTCTAACTTAACGGTAGGGTTTTCTGTTTATGTTTTTGGCCTTCTGTTTTGATTTTGAATTATCTCAAACCCTGACCCTAAACAATAGGGAGTTTAAGCAAATCGCTATGGCTGGCTCTTATACGGCTGCCGCAAGTAAATTTCCCCCAAAATGAGACAATGCGCATGTACGTCGCTTGCATCCAGCCGAAGCGTGAAATCTGACTACGTTAGTCGGGATTTTTTGCCGTAGTGGCTACTACTTCGGGTTTATTTCGCTTCTCTGGCCCTTTTCAACGGACATCTCGACATTTGAAGAATTCCATTGGATACTATATCCTTTAAACTCAATTTCAGTCAAAGATTGTGTCAAGGTTGCCTTTCA